CTTCGGTCCTTTCCAACTCTGATATTCTCTATTCTGGGCAGGGGGTCGGACTAGAAGACCTCCGAGATCCCCTCCAACTCCAGGAGCAAGGCAGAGATCCACACCCTCACCTCCCATTCCCCACGCTTCAAAAGTCGGCATTCGCCCTGAAACTCCCTCCCGTCTCTCCTTCGCCAGGATTATGCCCGGGTTGAGCTTCAGCACCTGCAGCCAGCAACGCTTCCGAGAAATCTTCCAGAGCAACCAGGTGGGCTGCCTCCTGGACCAGCCTGAGCCGGCTCGTTTGGGGAAGTCCCGTTGCGGGAACCGCCTGGTAGAATCCGGAGAGGAGTGTGACTGCGGCCTCTTTTTGGTAAGAAAGGCTGAAAAAGCCACACAACCACTCCTTTTTTCTCCCCACTACCTTGAGCACAAAGTCCAGAAACGGTTTCTAAGTAGCAACAAAAACAAATTGCATTCTTTTCTTTAACCGAAGCCATCGATTTAGTCAAATAATAATAATAATAATAAATAATAATAATAAATAGTGATAGTGATAATAGTGATAATAGTGATAGTGATAATGATAATAGTAGTAGTTGTAGTTGTGGTTGTAGTTGTTGTTTGTTTGCTGTTGCTGTTTCTGTTGCTATTGCTATTGTACAAAAAACTACAGTGTACAAAGCAAACCAGATGACTATGCTGGGTTTCATATCCCAAATCACTAGTCGAACACTTCCCAAGCATTTAGGACCGCGTGATATATCCGCGGATTATGCGAGCAGATCCCAGTAAGGTGGCCTTCTGCACCTGGCCAATGGTGATTTTGCCAGTGCCAATTGTTTTTAAGTGCTTGCCTAGGTATTATTATTATTATTATTATTGTTATTATTATTATTATTATTATTATTATTATTATTATTATTATTATTGTTATTATTATTCCCCTTTGGGGTGCGGTGGCCTAGAGGTGCAGCTCTCGTCTCCCAACCAGGAGGCTGTGAGTTTAATTCTAGGTGTAAGACAGATTTTTTTTCTTTCTCTCTGGCCACAATGTGAATATATCTGCCAAACAAAACTCCACACTGGCGAAAGGAAGGGCATTCGGCCAGGAAACACTCTTGCTAGCTCCATTCGGTTGTCCCCGACTGAATGGAGCAAGGGATTATGGGGTCGTTAAACAAAGATGGTGATGCTTTTAAAGGGATAAATTTATAACGAACACATCACGGTGGTAGTTATCCTACAAGATTTAAGTGGGTAAATTTTGAGGGGTGCAACGGCCTACAGGTGGAGCTCCGGCCTCCCAATCAGGAGGCTGCGAATTCGATCCTAGGTAGAGGGCAGATATTTCTCTCTCTCTGCACAATGAGAATATATCTGCCGAACAAAACTCCGTATCGGCAACAGGAAGAGCATCCGGCCAGTAAACACTCAGCTCCATTCAGTTGCCCAGATTCCACCCCACAAGGGATTATGGGGTTGTTAAAAGAAGATTATTATTATGATTATTTCCCTTTTCCATTTTCTTCTTCCTTCCTTCTCCAGGAGTGTACAGATCCTTGTTGCAATGCAACCACCTGCCAATTAGTACCAGGAGCCCAGTGTGCCACCGGACAATCTTGCTGTCACCAGTGCAAGGTAAGGTATACCCCTCCCCAAAATGCAGGGGGAAACCCCTTCCTTTCGTCCTGAGCGCTCTTGTGATGCCAACCAGGATTTGGCCAGGAGCCCTTTTCGTTCCCCAATCCCAAAGAATCGTGGATTCTGTTCTTGTCCTCCTCGATCCTCAATTGTCATTTGAAATTCCCGGCTCTTTGCTCAACGTCGAGCGGCCCCAATTTTTAGTCGTTTTATCCAAAGTGTAAAATTCGAAGGAAGATGAAAATAAGGGGGGAAAGGGAAGGAGGAAAAAGGGAAGAGGGAAAAGAAAGTGTGGAGTTCCGACTTCGTTTAGCACAGGAGAAGAAGGTAATAACGCACAACTTCAATTTTTATTTTTTTTTACTTTTGAAAAATAATATATCCCAGCCGTTTCTACAACCGCAAACCTCTCCAATCAGCAAAACCCAAAATTAAAGTTCATAAGTCTCTAGCCGCATCTCTCAGAGTCAAAAAGATGGATTTATGATGAGTTGACATGTCGGCGTTACCTGGGTGCACCAACTCTGAGACACATAATTCACTGTCACCCTTTAACCTGGTCTTCCCCCACCCCCTGGATGTATATCAGGGATGGGATTCTACCAGTTCGCACCTATTCGCTAGAACTGGTTGTTAACATTCTAAGCAGTTCGGAGAACCGGTTGTTAGAAGAAATTCCTGGGCTAATCCTGTAAGGAAGGCGGGAAGGAAACATTCTGGTGTTGCTTACAGAAACTGCCTCTCCGTTAATTCCATTCTTGGCAGGACTAGACTTCCTGTCTCAGGAACTTCTCTGGAGTTTTTTTCCCCACCTTTGCTGGTACTTTGCTTGTGTGGAGTGACCATTCAAAGTCACAATGGCACTGAAAAAAATGGTTTATGACTGTTTTTCACACTTACGACTGTTGCAGCATCCCCACAGTCATGAGAGGCCAGGAGAGGAGATGCATGCCTTGATATGAGTGATGTTGAGTTGGCCACGCCCAGCCAATCACATGACCACCAAGCCATGTCCACCCAGTCACATGACCACCAAGCCACGCCCACCACCTAAGCCACGTCCACGGTTGTTAAAAATTTGAATCCCACCCCTGGGTGTATATTCTCCAATGAGACACATCCATAGCCAAGAGTCATCAATCTTGCTCTCCAGTAATAATCTTGCGTGCCAACAGCTTCGGCTGCCTAGCCATTATCTGAACCATTTAAGGAATGCACTGCTTTCCCTCCCACTCCCTTTCTGCTGGCAACTAATAAGACCAAAGGAGTGTTTTTAGTTGACAGCTGCTGTAAATTTGGATGGTCACTAAACAAACTGTTGTAAGTCAATGACTTACCTGTATTGGTAATTTCCCCTCCCCTCTTTTTGTTCCCCCTTGTGTAGCTACGCAGTGCTGGGCACACTTGCCGTCCAATCCAGAATGAATGTGACCTCCCCGAATTCTGCGACGGGACATCCCCACGCTGCCCTTCGAACACCTACAAGCAGGATGGCACCCTATGTGAAGGCGGCAAGGCGGTGTGCCACGGGGGCATCTGCCCCACGTACTTAAGTCAGTGCCAAGCCCGTTGGGGTCCCGGTAAGCTGAGGTTCGATTCCCTGGCATTGAATGCAGGCAGCCCCCAATGTACGACCGCAATTGGAAGCGGCATTGCCGTTGTTAAGCAACGCGTTGGTTGAGCGAGTCGCGACTGATTTTTTTAATTTTTTTTTGGGCGACCTTTTTCGTCACGGCGCTGAAGCAAGTGGGGCAGTTCTTAAGTGAAAGACATGGTTGAGGTAGAAAAAGGCGGCCTGGGGACATTAAATATGTCCATGTTTGATTATAAAACCGCTGCTAGAACTCCCAGTCTCCTGGTGATTGGCACAAGACTGTCGCCGAATCAGTTTTCGTGCCTAAGTGGGACTAGAACTCCCAGTCTCCTGGTAATTGGCCCAAAGTCACCCAATCAGCTTTCATGCCTAATTTGGAACTAGAACTCCCAGTCTCCTGGTGATTGACCCAAAGTCACCCAATCAGCTTTCATGCCTAATTTGGAACTAGAACTCCCAGTCTCCTGGGGATTGACCCAAAGTCACCCAATCAGCTTTCATGCCTAAGGTGGAACTAGAACTCACCTGCCCCCACTTTCTTAACCACTAGAACAAACTGGCTGTTTTGTTGGTTCTTTTATTTTCCCCAATTAACTGATGACACTTTATCCTACCTTACTTGATGTTTTACCCCCGTGAACTGCTCACCTGATGATCCCTGTAGCTGGATCACATTTATTGGCAGAAATGGCCTCTTTCTAAATTTTATTTTTTTATTTTTTTCCCCCAGACGCGGTTCCCGCGACAGAAGCCTGCGTGGCGTCGCTGAATCAGAGGGGAGATGCCCAGGGCAACTGTGGGCAGAATCCTGCCGGATCCTACGTCTCCTGCGCTAAGAGGCAAGTTCTGTCTTTCCTCCCCACAACTTCTGGGTTCTTTTTCACGGCGCACCGTGAAAGTTTTTTTTTTTTTAAAAAAAAAAAACCGTGGGAAAAATAGTCCCGTCTCTCCCCACACAGCGACGTCCGGTGCGGGCAGCTGCAGTGCAAGAAAAAACGGAATGGAACGCTTAGGACCCTCAACTGCCTGCGTGATGCTCTGAAGGTTGTCGTGGCGACCGACGTTGTAGAGGAAGCCGGGACGTTATCCGGGACAAATTGTGGTCCTCATAAAGTGAGTGAGCCTCAGGATGGACTTTTCCGGCCCAGATTTTAGGGAGGGGGGGAGGGGTCAGAGAGAATCAGGGGTGGGATTCTACCAGTTCGCACCTATTCGCCACAACCGGTTGTTAACATCCTAAGCAGTTTGGAGAACCGGTTGTTAGAAGAAATGACTGGGCTAATCCTGTAAGGAAGGCGGGAAGGAAACATTCTGGTGTTGCTTACAGAAACTGCCTCTCCGTTAATTCCATTCTTGGCAGGACTAGACTTCCTGTCTCAGGAACTTCTCTGGAGTTTTTTTCCCCTCCTTTGCTGGTACTTTGCTTGTGTGGAGTGACCATTCAAAGTTACAATGGCACTGAAAAAAAGTGACTTATGACCGTTTTTGACACTTACGACTGTTGCAGCATCCCCACAGTCACGAGAGGCTAGGCAAGGAGATGCGTGCTTCGATGTGAGTGATGTTGAGTTGGCCACACCCAGCCAATAACATGACCCCCAAGCCATGCCCACCCAGTCACATGACCACCAAGCCACGCCCACCCAGTCACATGACCACCAAGCCACGCCCACCAACTAAGCCACACCCACAGACCTGGTTGTTAAAAATTTTGAACCCCACCCCTGGAAAAAATTGCTTCCCTGCCTTAATAAAAGGCCAGTCGCGAAGTCCCCGAATTACGACCCCCCATTGGAGCATCGGTCTCTAAGTGAAAACAGTGATTCCGTGAGTTTTTCTCTCTCGATTTTATGACCTTTTGTATGGCCGTTCAGCAAACCACACCGTTGTTAAACCAATCCGGCTCCCTCCCCCTCCCCTTGCCCTCAACGGTGATCTCATAGGATGCCGCCACCGTTGTAAACTTGTGCCGGGTGCCAAGCACCCGAATTTTTATCCTGTGACGGCCGCGGTCATCAGTGCGAGGTCATAACTTCACACAGCCATTAAATGAAGGGTCATCAGTGGAGAATGACCCACAGTTTTTGTTCCTAGGTTTGCATCGACCAGCGATGCCAGGAAGTTTCCTCCTTAAAATTCCCCGTGTGCCAGTGCAACGGACGTGGGGTAAGTCACATATATATTCCACCCACCCACCCCCAAACTTTTCCCTTTCTCAAAAACTGGTTTTCCAACATCAGAAAACTCTCTGTCTTCTGCCTCCCTTCTCCTTCCGCCCCCGCCTTAGCAGCCTAGCGGTGGATCCCAGAAAGATAGGAGACCACTGGGAGATCCCACAGCCACCGGTTTACACACACACACACACACCCCTCCCCACCCGTGCGAGATCTTCTCCGTTCCTCTCCCCTCTTCTCCCGGCTCGACCCTCTTTTTTAAAACTTGTCCTTTTCAACCCGCAGCTTTGTAACAACAGAGGGCACTGCCATTGCGAGCCCGGGTGGGCGCCCCCTGGCTGCCAGGCGGGCGGCCTTGGGGGCAGTGTGGACAGTGGGCCCCCAGCCCCGGGGGAAGGTAAGTCGAGGGAGCATGGGTGCAGTGCGTTGGCAGTTATATCAACGCACGGATACACTTATACGAAGGATTGCAGGTTGCAAAAGCGTGCACACCTGGGTTGCAAATATGCACAGGTGACTTTTTTTTTTGTTCAGTTCCAGCCACCTTTTTTGCGGCTTAGCAACCGG